GTGAAGCAGGGCAGGTGTAAATGGTAATTAGTGGACCCTCTACTAACAGGAAGCTTCTGGTATCGGCTAAGTTTTAAAGGAAGTGAGACACGTTTACTTGGCATCGATGTATACATGTTAGAAAATATCATGATACTTAAGGACACATGTCTTGCGACCGAAGAAGATGCCAGTGGCTTCCATGCAGCAGGAAGTAACCACGAGATGGCGGTTAACTTCATTCGTCGCCTCACCTGACGGATTCTATACCGTTGACCTCAGAGGTGGCGTAGTCACTTTGTTTGTTAGGTACACCTGCTATGGGTCTAGTGATACTACTTGACTGATCACACTGCGGCTGACGGAACAGGTCTGGAAATTGTAACGTGCTGGCCGTAAGTTGAGTACTTATACCCGTTGGTCATCATACGTTGACGCAAATTCTCCCGTTTTCACAATAAACACTAAAGCTCATTCTACGTTCCGCTTCGATGGACAACAAAGAAGAAATACGTGAAGAATTCATTAAAAATTGATTCAAGGGGTGGAACAATGTGTACTTAATTAGTTAGCAGGTATTCAACAGTTTGTAAGGTCACTGAAGCTTGATCCTGTATATGGCACTGCCCACAAACACTGGCATGCACCTCTAACAACAGTTTACGCGTTCTTCCCGGGTTTTCCTAGGCCAGTAGCTGCGTTATACTCCAAGGTGAGAACACAGTTTCGGTTGGAATTAGAAAGTAATATTGAAAGCTGCATAGTAAGAGGAAAGGGATACGCATCCAGTGATTCATGGCCCATGACGCCAACATGAAGAGGGTTACATTGCCGAACGTAACGAAGAAACCTAGCGTAGGAATGCTTGTGGTTCACAGCAGCTTCACATACTGCCATGTATCCATCGTTGCTGATGAAGCTAAATCGCTACTTGGTTTTGGTCATGGAAGCGCCTGACAGATTTAATGAAAAGAAACTCTAAGCAGAATAAAATGATTGCGTTCACCGTCATTTGAAATAGCATGTTTAATATAGTGGATACAGGACAACTGAGTGGCGGATACTGTTCGACTTGGGTCTATCAAAATGCTCAGAGATCTCTGCAGTCTCTCCTTCGATGAGAGACTAGAAAACTGAACTTATTCCAACTTAGGTCAGCGATAAATTGAAGTAACTTTAGGAAACGTTTCTGGATGATAAACGCAGGTTATTTGAGACAGGTAACTACGAACCTTTCCAAGATTGGCAGTTAAAAATAGAAATAAGGCAAAGGTGCTGTGTTGTATGTACCGTTAACCGTCACTTGGAGCAACGAAAACACTTTTCTCCCGCTTGGCCATCTTTTGTTGACTTCATGCAAGACATCCGTAGTCAGTACGTACCACCGGCTTAACAGCCACAATATCAAGAGCAGAAGCGAGAGCTAGATTAGCTTACCTATATAGGGCGAATGGGTTATGGTGCACAAATACATGAGACGAAATCCTGAAGTTGAAGTTGTCGCAGCCCAACTATGTCAACCACCTTAGGGGATTTTACAGAACAATAAGGGGGTTATCCTAGGATCACGACACGTTTCAATCAAATGCCTGATACAGGAACACAGTCCATGGATAACTACAGGCATAGGGGTGATAAATTATTATCTCACAAAGAGTAAAACAGCTTAAGTCGATCAAGCAAGGAAAAACCAGTTGAAGGTAATTATACTGCACACTGTTTAAGAACAAATCATGCATGTTCTGACGAGCTGGGCCAACATTCAGCCGCGCCTTAAGTCATCCAGAGCTAGGTCAGACGAGCGTTTCAATATTTTGGAAAGAAGTCTGTCAGACTTTTGAAGAGATCTGATAATGCATTGAGGAAATTGCTCAATTTCTGCTACTGGAAGAGGAGGCACAGAACTACAGCAGGCTTACGTCTTGGGAATCTTGTTCCAACAATCACTTGAAATTTGGCATTCGTCCTGGCGCGAAACTGACGGACGCAGAGGCCAATCACTAATTATTCGGACTTGCTATGTGCTCACGAACACGAGACCAGGAGAGAACACAATAACGTAACCAAATGGAACAGTATATTTGCGAGGTCGTGCCAAGACACCGATGCGCTCCGACTAACTGGCTAGGAGGTCGATTACGTGCAGTGCAACGTAACACGACAGCGTGTCAAATGGCGAGGATGTTTGACCGGGTGCCTTCAGCCTAGCGAGTCCGGTCAAACTATCAAGGCCAGCATCAATGTCGAGCCTCTCTGAACCCTAGGCTATTGATTAACCGCACCGACCTAGAAACAAATCTTGCCGTGTAGTCAGGTAACATCTTGCACTTTTCAGACAATAACGGGGCATACAAATCAGGTTTTGCCTCGGTTAGCATCTGCTACATGTCATTTTATCCTTATTTGCTGGAGACATAGCGCAAGTTCCAATACCCGACAACTGCAAATGAAGTCTTGACTGTAATTTCGGAGGTAGTGGTGATGGCGGAATGCATTCTCTGATCAGAAGTTAATCTCAGTATGAGTACAGTTATGCACACTGGTCAACACGACTGACATCGATACTGGATATTTATAGTAATCCCTAGTTAGTTTCCTGCAGCACTATGCTTTAGTATAACTCTACGTTACATGCAGTCATGTCCCCTCACTTAAAGAAGGACACTTTGGCCTCAAACTGGTCTCGGAAAAGGCTACGAAAAAGTGGACGGGGTTGTGGCAAAAACCGTATCTAAATCCCTTAGTAGGCTGCAACCGGTACAATACTGGATGATCCATAGATATCCTCTCACACGGCATCATGTCACTCATAATTCCATTTATCACTAACCGCCTGGGACGACTGGACACAAAGCTGGGATAACAGAAAACCGGTACATGTTGTATTTCTCGACCTAGCCAAAGCATTTGACAGTGTCCCACCCACAGCACTGCTTCACAAGATCATGTCAGCTGGTATAAGTGGACCCCTACTCTCTTGGTTCAAGGAGTACCTGGAAGGGATGCAGTTCTGCACTAAAGTGAACAGAATAAGGTTGGAGTGGAGACCCTCGACGTCAGGAGTATCCCAAGGAGCAGTCCTAGGACCGCTTCTGTTCCTCCTGTTTGTCAACTATCTGCCAGATAAAATATCCTCACCCATCCTCCTCTTCGCTGACGACATAAAAATTTGGAGGGTGGTAAACGGAGAAGCTGATTGTACAGCTCTACAAAAGGACTTGCAGCAACTCGGGCTCTGACCGTCGGAAAATGGCCTGAGCTTCAACCTGGAAAAGTGCAAAGTAATGCACATCAGTAAAATGAGGCAAGTACGACCGACTTCCAGTACATGTTGAGCAACCGTGCTATCACCGGAGTGTCCATGGAGAAAGATTTGGGGCTCAACTTCTCCGACACCTTGGACACCAGCTCTAACTACAAAGGTATGACAACCAGAGCGAACGCCATTTTGGACGTTCTGAGTAGACAGCTTGGCGCCCTCACTCCCAAACTCTTCCTCATCATTTTCAAATCCTACGTGCGGTAGCATCTAGAGGTCTTCAATACGGTAGCTCCTCCAACACTCAAGAAAGACTCTAATCTCCTTGAAAGAATATAAAGAACTGCAAAAAAATCAGTTGTGGGGCTAAGGGGAAAGACGTATCCTGAAAGACTTAAACACCTAAACCCATTTACCTTGGGTTATCGCAGGAGGAGGGGTGACCTCGTTATGACATGCAAGATAGCCCATCAGGCAGACCATGCAAACAAATCAATCTTGCCTGCAACTCAACGATCCTCACGAGGAAGCACCCATTTAGATAGCACACTAGAGAGCCAACACCATACTCAGGTCCAAATGTTTCTCCCTAAGAGTATGTGCTTTATGGAATGCCTTACCGCGACATATCGTTATAGCTCCCCCAGTCGACTCATTCAAGAGGCGATTAGACAGTTATGTCACCTCGCATGGACTACCACGGACGTACTCAGGTAGTCACCAACCTCACTGGCCCCAAAATCCCCCGTAACTACCACCCACTGTCTCCCTCCTCAATACACCCACATTACCTACTAATTCTTCTGTAGGAACCAAACCCATGCCACCATTCGCGCAATCCCCAAGTACTTTTCTTTCGTTCTCATTTCTCTTTTCACCCCTCCTTTTCTTATCCTTCCCTTTTCTCCTCCCTATATTATTGTTTTTCTTCTTTCTTCTCTTTTTTTATTCTCTCTTCACTCCTTTACCACTACCTTGCTATTCTCTTTCAGGTACCTACACAGACAGGAGTCACGGCAGTTCCCCAAACTTCCCAGCAACCCGTAGCTCCCCAACCACTCTACGAACTACAACTTACTTACCCACAAAACATCCACCTCACCGAGACTGAAAGCAAGAAAGTAGAGGGGATTTCCTCGTCCACTGCAGGAGTGAACCGAACAAGTTGAACCAAGCCCTAAGAACTAGACTCGAGAGATCAAAGACTACCAGTTTTCTGCCCTCGCACTATCAATATTGGATATTGTATCACTACAGGTTTCTCTGTAACTTTACTTATGTAGCCCACTTTTGAGACTATCCGTGCAGTGGAACATGAGGGAGCGCGTCTGAAGTTTTGTGCAGCTACATTATGTCAACTGTGGGATTGCCTTCCTCAAGTTGTAGCAGCTCCATTTCCTGATGCTTTCAAAAGGTTAGATGCTCACTGAGAGTACTGTGGTCCAGATAAGCTGCAGTAGGAAGTTTCTCGTCTTCTAACAGATCTTAAGTAACAAAACTACAGGTAGAGAGGCGATTAGGCATTAATTGGTTGTCTTTGTCCTTTCAGATTTTCCGGAAACTGGAGAAAATTAACCATTTAAAGACTAGGACAATCTCTTGTAACAACAGTTTTTAACTCAGGGGACCACTGTTAGTCACTTTGTGACAAAGAATTTTAAGTTTGAAGCTGATACACTATTGTACTATTGAAAGCTTTTGAAATACATCGGCTCGGTTTTTGGTTCTTTTGGATACGTGAGATCATTGAGCTAAATGTTTCATGGTCTTAAACATATCCTCGAAATCTGTTGTTATAAAGAAGCATTTGGAGGTGTATGGTTTACCTCTACCACTAGTAAGTTCTACCAAGAGATTGACCTAAGTAAATTTATTAGTGCACTTCCGAAACACGTTTACTAAGAGTTCGAATTATACGTGCTCTGGATCTTATGAAGAAAGATATATTTGGTGCGAGGTAAAACTTAGTATTTAATAATATTGTGTCAGTGATCCATACTGCAAGTTATGTGTTTACAAAACTCACCGCTCAACTCTGCCTGTGTGCACACCAGTGCCAACGAAAACCGTCAAAAGATCGTTAAATCCTATTTGGAATGAAGAATTTATATTTAGAGTAAAATCTATTAAGACAACCTCATATTTTTTTCAGGTCAACCCTTCCGAGAACCGTCTAGTGTTTGAGATTTATGACGAGAACAGGATTGTGAGTTGGTATAATAAACTAATTTTATTCGCTTAGACAAGAGATGATTTTCTGGGTGTCGTCACCGTGTTTCTGCCTTATTTGGAAATTGGGACGGAAGGTTCTGGTTGCCGATTAATGGCTAAAAGTTTTCTTTTGCGTCCTCGCAGGTACTGTTCTGATAATTTTTCCCCATTTGATGTGGCGTTTTCGACGTAATATGAATTCCTCTCCATCGTAGACACTACCTACTGTCCGGTCTTTGACAACCTTTTGGAAGTGGTTTTGTCATTTGGAAGTATAACTATGTACTCATGGGCCAGTATACAATCATTTTGAGTTACATCCTAGGTTTTCTTTAGAGTTGTAAATAGTCTCACACGCAAAAACAACGTGAATTTTGCGTTGGAGATTTATCAGTAGTTAGATGTTATGAATGTATCTCATTTCACATGATGCATTCGAGAACTAACGGAATGTGGCAGTTGTGAGTTAAGGAAGTATATGTCGCATAGCTTCTAAATCTTGCTAGATTTTTGGTTTTACATTGGTGCAAAACTTTAATTAAGAGAGCGCATGGATGGATTGTCTTCAGTCATACTGTTTTGTATGATGAAAAATGTTTTTTTATTGCGCTGTTCGAAACGTTAATTGCAATAGTGATTTGAATGTTCCGGTAGTAAACTTGAGAAAGTCTATGGGCGACGGTCGATCGATCATGTCATGTCATGTAGCACACTAGTGCTCCGGATCGGCCATATCCCTTGACCTGTAGGTAGGTAAGTATGTTATGTGAGTAGGTGCACTGTGAAGCTTATTCGCAAGAGCTTGTAAGGATTAGCTTTTCCAGGTAACAACCAGTGTTCTTCACCAGTTCCTGTCAAGTTGTAGATATCATAAAAGTATGATTTTGGCACTGAAGGATGTAATCACTTGTTGGTTGGTTTGTGTAGCGCAGTACATTAACTGATTTGATAAATATAAAGACCACGAAATCGTCAGGCTTGATAAAAAAGCTCCTTTCTGTTCGAAAGTATTCAGGTTATCTGGAATCGATGTAATATGACTTCTGCTAAATGTATTGGACGTTGTTTCAGTGAGTTTGTACTCAGTAATTCACCTACTTGATTGAGCCTTTTTTACTATAGGACAGCGCATCTAGTTTTCGCTGTCATCAGTTGGCATGCATGTTTACTATGGAATTGTTTTATAAACACATCATGACTTCCTTTTAAGGCTTCAAAAGCTCGGCTTTCGAATTAACTGCCAGTTATTGCTGGGATGAAACGACTATTTATGCCATTCCTGTTTTCAGTGAGTCTTTCGATGATGTCACTGAATCGCAAGAAGTGTCTTCAGGCTGGATCGATTACTATAAGTCACTAACTAATACACATTGCACTTTTGAAACCATCGATTGCATGGTGTCTGGCTGAAAAGGCATGTTATGGACATGGTTGTTGTTTTCATTGGCTAATTTAAGTTAGGTAGGTCTTTGGTTTTAATATAATTCATAGTTTGTGTTAGCTAATTGTACCTGTCAACTTACCCTTAACTATCATTTATATCATTTCAGTTCTCGTTCTCGCGTTCGAGGTAATCTTCATTTATATCTGGCTTATTTGCCAAGCCATTTGAATCCACGAATATCAAGTCTACGAGAACTTCCTGCTGCTATTGAATTGGTTAGTGCCGTGTTTTGTTTATCATGCAGCTAATGTACAATGCATTGCAGTATAAGAGATAACCTGGTTGCTTAGAAATTAGAGTAATCTAATGTAAGAGTAAAACCTAGAAATTGGTAGAATTATTTATTTGATTTGGCACACTAACCCAGTGTTATTTACTGGACGACATTTTGAGCAGAATTTATTGCTCACATTCATATATGGTATATGAGTTAGCTTAATGTACTTCGTTGACTGAAAGTATATTCTATCAAATTTGTGCGGTTTGGTTGAGATATTTTTTACACCACTTTAAAGCGGTTCTGCTTGTTTAAGCATTTTTTCATAAAATATCTCGACTTGAACATTATTCATCAACGTAAGCGTGCCTATTTTGCAGAAGAAATATCTGTTATTATGCGTAACACGTATATTTTTAGGAAGAAACATCAATCTGCATTTCGAATGTGACTTATCGTACATAGAAATTAGAGCGTTTGCACGTCCTGTGTAAATTTCCTCTTATATTATTCATTGTATGATGGGGTCCTTGGTGAAAATGATTGTCTATGCAAATTAGTTTTATGGGGATTGTCATAATTAGAAGGTTAATTTAAAAATAATTCCTTCAAGTAAATCTTTATCATTTATTGTTCGTTCGCGACTACCACTCAAGTTTTTCTTAGAAATCATCAGTAATAGGTGAATCTCCACTTAAAATAGACTGACTTAAAGTATGCAGAAGATATTTGTCATACTAGATGAAGATGCTGACAAAATGCAGGGTCTTCTGAACGCGTTCAGCAGAAATCTCAATATGTTTGGCATCTTTCAAATGTAAGATGCTGCTGCAGGGCTGGTCTGCAACAACTCCCAGCTTAATGATAGAGAGTGAAGTGGTGTACTGTGTCGATCACTTCACTTACTTGGGAAATTGCATCAGCCCGGACGTGCTGGCTGCTGAGGGAATCCCAGCCCGGACATAAAAGGCCCGTTTGGCATTTGCCAACTTGCGTCATTTGTGGTGCCAACTGGCAAGATATCCGGGTGTCTATCAGAAGGCTAGTATACTGTAATGCAGTTTGTTTTATCCTTTTATACGGCTGATATGTCTGGCAAAAGTAGATGACATGAAGCGGTTACAGGGTTTTGATCATAGATGTCTTCACAGCATTGCCGGCGTTTGGTGGAATCACCGTGTGAGCAATGTTGAGGTCAGGCGGACGGTACTAGGCAAGAAAGGCAAGTTGATTGGTGAGGTTATGAACTTTCATCTACTGCGAGAGCTTGGAAGTCTCTTACTGTCGGTTTGAGCTATGTGGGATATAGACTGCCTGGTTGGGGTTCCCGAAAGAATAGGAAGAAGTGGTCGAAGACTGTTGGTGACATGGCTGAAAATCAGTCACGATGGTGCAGATGTATGCACTCCTTGACGTCTTCTTAAGCTTGAATATTTGCACTAATTGTTATCTTCAAATTGTTTATTCACACAACTTTGTCCACTTTCATACCACTTTTCTTATTCACCTGTTCTTTGTATACTATTGTGAATCATAGAAACTTGAACCGATGCACTTATGTGGAAGTTTCTGTTTTTAGGTAAACTTATTTGGTAGTTACGTTCGCATTACACATAAGAGAAGTATTTGATATACAATTAACTGTTCACATAATTTATGGTTTTTTCCAGTCAACCGAACAACGGAATAGTGATGGCCAGATCTCTCCTATTCCAGCACCCTCTCATCGTACTAGTGTTCCGACACAGTCTCATAATCCTGGTATTTCTGATGCAACTAGCATTGCTGAAGATGGTGCTGATAATTGTGTATCTATCAGAAACACTTCAATAGAAATGGACACTGAGAGTGTTGCAGACAATGTTATTGGACCAATGCTCTCCACATCACTTGATGAAAGTTCTTCGATGGAAATGGTATCAGATCCTCTACCACCAGGTTGGGATGAACGCGTAGATCAAAATGGCCGCACATATTTTGTGGATCACGTTCATAAACGTACACAATGGGATAGACCTTCATTGTAAGTTATATGTTGTCTTAGACTTCAGCGAATTTCATATTCCTTACATTAAATAAATGACAACCCTAAAAGCAAAACTTGAAGGTCCTTATTTACTTTATTATTATGCTTGCGTGCCGATGGATTTTATTTGCCGGTATTGCCATCAAAAATGATATTTAACTGTGTCGTGTAGGTTAACCGTTGGCTATAAATGGTTGGAGAGGTTCAGTGGATCGCATGACATAAACAGAAAAACATCAAGGTGGATTAAATTCAGTATTGTTGTTTCTTGCTGGAGACTTCCAATTTTATTTCAACCAATCACATATGCGGATCCCAATCCATCTACTGAAGTTTAAGGAACTGTGTAGTATCACTAGTCCTCACACGCTAGTTGTGGCTTGTTGCGTAGTTAATGAGGTTGTACGCGGTGACAAATTCGTATTATTATTGTTATTATCATTATTTTTAGTTATCATTCGAGTGTTTCAATACCTCATTTAGTAACTCATGGTATAATAGAGGATTTGGATGAAGGCTACGTTGATTTTAGAGATTTTAATGGTACATGAATTGATAGAAGTGTTTCAGCTCTACATGCTTCTTCAGAATGTCCTACTCAACCCACACTTTAGAAAAGCCATGTAGGGCAGACATGTTCATCTACGTCGTGCGAACTCAAAGATCACTTTGGGGCGTCTCAGCAATAGCTCCACGCAAAAGTTGCTCCAACCCTGCATCAACCTCACATGAACCGTTTGCGGTCTCATAGCTTAGTATTGTTGACTAGTATGACAATCTGTCCGAATAGCTTATCCACTTTGTACGTTAACTGCTCTAGTATTGATTTCTAAAGTATATGGATACTGATAAAAACAGATGTACAAACTTGATTCAGGTATTATGTGCATTGTTTACGTGAAAGTCGTCGTCTGAGGCAACGATCACTAATTATGTCTGCTAGAGATAACCACTACCAACACTCCTATCTAACTTTGCTATAGATCCTTACCCACCGATTCGTTAGATATTCACTTACTATTCTAATTTTATGCTCTGACTTGCTAGTTATTGGGTTGACTCCTGGAAGGTATCCATCTGACCTACAGTGTGCAGAAAAAGCAACTCTGTTGTGCAAAGATGCTGACAAAATGCAATATTGTATGAAAATCTGAGCATGTTTGACATGCGTTTGACAAATCTCGAATGTAGGATGATGATTCAAGACTGATGTGCACCGGCTCCTAGTTTAAGAGTAGGAAGTGAAGCTGTGGAGTACGTTGGACACTTCATCAGCTTGAAGAGTCGCATCACTGAGAGTGTGTTGGCTGAAAAAGGTTGCTTTATCACTTACTAAATTGCATCTGTGGTACTGGTTAGATATCTGACTGCATATGAAGTGATAAGTATAGTGCGCATTATTCCTCTCTGTCTTATCATGCGTCTGTAAGACAGTCCTTGGATGTAGAATTTGTGAGATCACAGGTTTTTAACTATGGATTTCTTCGTAGCATTGCCGTTATGTATTTTGATCAGCGTGTAAGCAAATATCAAGGTTAGGCGTAAAGTACTAGTCAGGAAAGGTTAGTTGGTGAGGTCGTGATAATGATTTAGTGGTTTCTGAGTTTTGATATTTTATTGTGTACGTTTCATTACAAGGTTTATTGACTTCTACACCAATTTCACCAAGAAGTGAAGCATATTCAAAAGTTACATGAATTCTTAGCTAGTGTTTTCCTGCCGAAATTGTTGACCCAACGTCAGAAAACCACAGGTTGTTTGGGCGTGCGTAGCGCGTACCAAGTAATTTCCTTTGTTGCTATGTAGTGTTAGTTGAAAAAAGATGAGATCAACTCAGTAACCGTGTGGACGCCCGTGCAGTAGGCAATGATCCACACCTATTGTGTGTATGCGTATGTGTGTGTGTGTGTGTGTGAGAGAGAGAGAGAGAGAGAGAGCTATCTGGCTGTCTAAACCTCAGTAGGTGTAGCGGGGTTTGAACCTGCGATTCTTTAATCACAATGATTCAGATGTATATGCGCTCTGTTATCTTCGTAATTTTTAAGATTTTTACTATCTATCGTTCGTCTCACTCCTGCCATACATTAGTGTTCACTTAAATCTCATTCCTTTTGTCGATTCTTTTTTGCATACTGCTGTGAAGAGTGACAAGTTGCACTGATGCACTTTCTGCGAATTTCTAGTTTGGTTTGTTTATCCTCATAAAATGTACTTCAATACTACGATTTGAAACAGTAATTCACCGAAATAGAGAAAAAACGAATTAAAAGGTGAAAAATAATAGTAATAGGTCAGGTGTCACAAAAGTTCAATGAAATTTTTATGATGATTTTGACTTTTTAGAGCAATCGTATCATTGGTATCGACTTTCAGCCTTGGAGATGGAGTAGTGACTTGGTGGCTTGAGCAGTTGACTCGGAATCCTTGAGGTGGTGCCTTTTCGAACACCTGTCTCCATATACAATGTTTTTCTCATGAACAAATGATTATAGTAACGTTTTCTTAGTTGGTAATGAAAACTACTACCAGATAAATCGATAACCCTTTATCTACCAACTGGTATCATCAATTAGTTCAGCTCATGTATTCAATGAGTTATTGATTGCGTTAACCTGTTTCTTTTTTCTTATTATTTCATTGCTGCAGTCGATTGCCTCAAGGATGGGAGCAACGAACTGATGCAAATGGTCGTGTGTATTATGTAGACCATATAAATCATAGAACTACTTGGTATCATCCTCTGTCTGAGGTAAAAAACCTTGTTTATTACTGTCGTTATTGATGCTTAGTCTTAGTGTTCGATTTGGTTTTTCAGATTCCCGAAGCTTGATTGTGAACATTTTAGTTTTCACCGATGTTTCACACTTAATGGTTTTTTCCTTGAGATCCATTGTAGTGGTTTATAGCTACTTACCGTAGTATGAAATATCTTTGTTGGATCAAACCTAGCGTCTTCAAGCTTAGCAGTCATCACGTCACACCCAAGTTATCACATCGGAGTTGTGGCTCACTGGTTTGGGGAGTTGACTATCAGCCAGAGTCACGGGTTTGAACACCGCTCCACCCACCGAGGTTTGGGAAACCATGTAGTATCATCAGCCATGACACACTAGGTGTGGCTCGTCGCCTACCACACAAATATAGCCGAGTGGATTTCTTTCGTTTCGGGATTTTATTCTTTCTTATTTACCTATAATCTTAACGATTTAAGATTTAAAGTGGTTTAAGATGGTGAACTGATATCAGCAATATGGGTAAAGTTGTATCTCTGTTTGGTTTGCCACGCTCATCTATATCACAGCAATGAGATGTCGGTAAGACATTAAAATAGTTGAGTCGATTCCCTGCTAAGAGAGGCCCAATACTAAAGAAATGCAGCGGTTAGAGATATTTAGCAATAAAGTGTTCAACATCATTGTGATAAGAACGTTTTCTTCTGTACAGTGCATGTTTTAACAAATAAAAACAATATTGAAAATACAAGCCGAAGATTATTGTCTCTACTGTTCAAACTTAATACTGAGTATTTTTAGCTCACCTATTTTGTCGTCTTTTCTTGGTTGTAATGCTACTTTCTTCTGTGTATTGCGATACAGGTCAACCCAGTACAGGTCTATGTACTATACCACGAGCTACATTAATTATCTGAGGACTAACGCCACCATCCAGTTGCACAGGAGTTTAAACACGGGAACTGTTACTTGGACGTCAATTGTTTAGTTGATAAGCCACATCTGTGGGTGTGGTACGGAGGTGTAATACTAGCTATGTTCCCAAACTTAAAACACTTTCTTACATTAATGGTCAATTTTTTGAAAATTTGACCCTATACAGAGCAAAAAATTGTCAAAAGCGCTATCTTTCTCTATATCTACTTCTTTATGAACCTAAGATTTGTATGTACCATTTTGTTTGAGATTTGTAGATTTCTAACTACCCTAAATGAAACAGTGTTTCTTGATAGATGTCATGAAAAAATGTTCATCTTTTTTTAAAACTCGTCTGGAGAAACTTGAGTTTAAATAAAGCTTTTTCGTATGATCATACTGAAGCAGTGTTTGATTTCTTCGAATAACTAGTCGTGAAAAGTTTGCCTACCGACTTTGAAAACAATTTCAATTATCACTTCATCATATGAATGTATATATTTTCACTATTCTGAAATATGAAACACAATGGAATGAATTTTATAGAATCCATTTTGCCTTTCAAATATATGTTTATGAAACCGTTGTCGATTTGAAGGTTACTCGTCAGGATATGTTTTCCTATGGGAAACTATCAACTTGGCATGTTGATTTCAACTTCTAGTTTATTGACGTTTCATATCATACAGTTTGGTACTTTGGTGCATGCAGTGGTGGTGATTTAATACTTGTTAGCGTTTATAAGCTTAGCATCTAATCCAGTTTGCGATTCGAGTTCACGTCGTGGTGTTTTGTCTAAAAGTAGAATCGACTAAATGCTCACCCCAAGTCCTCAACTTTGTTCAGGATTGTCATTGCAGTCTTCTGGGCAACATACCTAATTTACAATTATGTAGCTTATGAATATCCGTCGTCGATTGGACCAAGTTAATCGGTCACTATTGACATACAGGCTCCTGTGCGGATACCTTGATATTACCGGAACTACCCAATGGAATTTAATGGGCTCATTTTGTCTCATTAAGGACTTGTCAGTTGGATGCACCTACCTCCCTAACCGAATTGAGTTCCTGAACATCGAGTCAAAAATTCGGATAAAGAGATGAAAAACACTTTTGTACAATCTCAGAAAACTAAAATATCTAAAAGAATAGAGGACATATATGAACGTTTTGGAGATTTATATGGTGATGCACCACCTATTCATGTTCTCTCAGAGATAAACAAGGAAGAATACACTTATCTGTTCTGTTTAAAGCTGGAATAAATACTCCATAAGGTGGTATCATATTCTGGCTTAACCATCTATCGAGCCGCCTTCCCCACTAATGGTCTCTTTAATCATCACCCTTTTCGCCTATTTGACCTGTTATTTCTATGCTAGTATGTACCTGTTACTTGTCGGTAAGGGACCTCACCTGTTGAACCCTACTTTTCCTTCACTGCTGACTACTTATGCTGCATAGAACTTATCCAGTCTACATTAAGGTTACTTCTTAATTCTATTTGAAAGTAGTCAGTATGTGTTTACATGCATCCTTTAGTTCAAACTGTTTGACGAGTTAAACATATTGATTGTCTGCTGTTCATCAAATCCTGTCAAGTTGTGAAAGTTACGCTAAAGTGAAACATATTCACCTCTTTTTCTTGTTAGGGATCTCGAGGACAAACGTCACCTCCCAATTCAATTAGTGGTCCAGATGCCTTCAACGACGGGGATGAACCACTAGGCGAAGGTAAAGTGACTTTTTAAAAAGTACTTTTTGAGTTTAAAAATGATATATTTTTCTCAAGTATTAGTGAGTGTATTTTTATGGACATTTACTGTCAATGTCATATATAATCAGTTTTTGTCCCGATACGGTTGATCATTATACTTGGTTGCAGCTACTTCGGTGTGCATTTCAACCCGCTGTACCTATTTCTGTCTTGATAAACAGATATTGTTGTTTGTGCATTTGTGATACACTTGTGGTTTACAGTATAGATGAAAAATAACTTCAGTTTAGCAACCACATGCATATTTAATGCATCTAGTAATGAGTTACACGTTATCCTGTAAGTGCTGTGGATACTATCTCGACAGTAGAATGGCTATCGAGTCCAGCGAATCACTCTATCAGTATCAAAATAGGGCCAGGCATGTTTGTATAACAGTCTAAATTACCATACCTAATATCACCACAACAAGTGACAAAATAGTAAGATAAAAGACTAGAAAAGAAAAGAAATCAATCAAATGCAGTAAAAGACAAAATAAATGACAATGCTGAGTTTAATATTGCGGCTAAGATGAAGATAAAGTGTAGAAACATCTGTGCCACTGACATCGATTCTGAGCCATGTCACCTAGAGTCAGTCTCCGACCCCTGTTTTCTCTTGTCCCACAAACCCTAACCGGCTTAAACGAACAGTTAAGGACTTCATGCATTGATACCATGTTTTGGTCTTACCGCCCCGAGCCGTTTTCCAGCCTGAACATACTTCAGCTAGCATTGCGTGACAATGCAGATGGTGACTAGGCATATGTAACACGTGTCCCAACCATCTCATTCGATGAAGGGTCACAACCACCTCTCCTGCCTAAAACTCTGTGTCTGACCTCTGAGTTATTCACATGGTGACAGCAGAATACGGCCTATGCTACGAAGGCAACGGTAGTCTTCTGCCTTTAATGCCCATGTTTCACAACCAAAAAGTAGAACAGAGCGAACTGCACCACAGTAAACTCGACCCCTAAAAGACAATGGGATATCGCTGCTGTTCTACAGATGGCGTAAGTTGGGGAAAGCTAATCAAACCTTTGGGTATCAAATCCGGTAGTCTATGGTGAAAGTTAATTACCTAGTCCAATAAGCTATGTTTTTAATATACATGAATCTGAATATTGTTTACGAAATTGCAGATGTTTTTGATATGCGTAAATGTATTTGATCATATTACGCTTTAAATATCAGTCAAAATGTCTACATTGATTGGTGTGCAAATATCTTGAAGTTCGTTTCATTCCTACTACTATTTTCAACAGTGTTATAAATTTATATACCTTGTTATAGTTGAAAGCCACTTCCAGTAGTAGACAAATCAGGCACGTTCATAAAAACATTGATTTATCTTAGCTGCTTTATTTTTTTTATCTATCAGTTTACCGTTTAATAACTATATTGACAAAGATTGTGTTGTACAACTTTACACAAAAGCTCACTAGTATAAGTAGCTACACTTTTCAATGACACAAAAAGTGCACAAAAAAGGACATTGGTAGATGGGGGAATAAATAAGTGTAGGAGGGAAATGAAAAGTCAATATTTTTGCACTATTTTATCCACTCTTAAAATGTGTCATTCATGTTGTCAAATCATAGTTATCTACATTGTCAACAAAGGCGTCCTAAAACAATCTAACCAATAACCAGTGACTTAATATATTAATGATCTATTGAAAACAATTGGTCTCTTTTCTAAATTTGGATAATGTAGTTTGAAGACGTAGGTTATCTGAGAAAAATATCCATTGAAGTTCATAAAGTGTTGTAGAATCAGCTATCATCGCAACCTAGTCTGTACTCTGTTCCGAAGAAATGTTTTTATATCGCGTTGCCATACAGAGGGGAATCTTACAGTGTAATTTTAAAGCGAAAGCTAAGGTCTGCCATTAGCAAAGCGTACTACAAAACTAGGTGAAGACACTGACAAAATCTAGGGTCTTCTAAATGCCTTCAGCAGAAATCTCAATATGTTCGGTGTTCGTTTCGCACCTATTAGATGTAAGATGTTCGAGGGCTAGTCTGTAACAACTCCCAGCTTAATAATAGGAAGTTAAGTGGTGGAGTGTGTCGACCACTTCACTTACTTGGGGAGTTGCATCAGCCCGGATGTGCTGGTTGCTGAGGAAATCTCAGCCCGGATGCAAAAGGCTCGTTCGGCATTTGCCAACTTGCGTCACCTATGGCGTCGGCGAGACATCCGACTATCTTATTAGAGAACCAGTATACTGCGCTTCAAGCCGTTCTGTCCTGTTGTATGGCTGTGAAACATGGCCGTTGCAAGTAGGGGACATGGAAAATTTACAGCTTTTTGACCGTAGGTGTTTTCGTAGCATTACTCGCGTTTGGTGGAATCACCGTGTTAGCAATGTTGGAGTCAGGCGAAGGGTAAAAGGCAAGAAAGGCGAGTCGATTGACGAGGTTGTAAACGTTAGTCGACTGAGATGGCTTGAACGTGGACTGCTCATCCCGAACCACCACCTACCTCTAGGTGCTATGCTGGGGAAAGTTGGATTACTATGGAAAAAGGTTTAGGGTGGCTAGACCAAGACCTGACACAAATCAAGGAAGTCCCTGACTATTGATTTGAGCCATATTGGAAGATGTAGACTACGTGGTTGGTGTTGCCGAGACAAAAGGAATCAGCGGTTGAGGACACATGGTGACGTGGCTGAAAATCGGTCGCAATGTTGTAGGTGTATTTACTGCTTGACATCTGAAGCGTGAATATTCACACCTACCGTTATCTTCAAATTGTTTATTCTTTCACACTATTTTATCTTCTTTGATATCACTCCTTTTGTATCGACGTTTTCTATGCACCTGTTCTTTGTGTACTTCTGTAAAGTGTGACAACTTGAGCTCATGCACCTGCGTGCAAGGTTCTATTATGGTTTTGTTAGTTAGTCAGTCAGCTAGGCTTATCGTAGCTGAGTTGACCAAACACATATTCCAACATAAACCTTAACAGTGTATAAACAATTACCTCATATCCTACTGCATTTATCAATTTACATATATGTGTGTGGACACACATTGGGAGGACTTATCGAGATATGCACTTGAGGTTGGGGGACATGTACCAAAAATGGCTACAAAAGCGGGTAGATTCACAAATATTGATAAGCCCAGGTGACAAAACATATTCATAAACGTCACAGGATTAACTTAACGATTTACAATTTTGTATGGAAACTGTCAGGTTCGTTGAAGCGCTAGGCATACACAAATTTAACCTCCCGTTGTGTGTTCAAAAACAATTTTTCTTTACACTAAACCTACCCTGGTAATGCTTATCTTTTCACATTACTATGGTTGTTTTCAAATTTTATCAATCTGCCTTCATTATCTTTCGTGCTATAAAATTCCTTTATGTCATATTTGTCCTTCACCCACTTCCAGTTTTGATGTAAAATGCCTTGTGACAAGTAAATGTGTGATCAGATTGTTCCAAATGTATTACGGAAATACATCACATTTTTCAGATAATCTACGTCTTCTAATTACGTTATCCAAACGTAATTAGACCACCACCTGGGAAGTAGGATCAGCCCTGGTGGGTCAGTTGCCGATGAAATCTCTGCACGGATACAAACGCCTCGATTAGCTTTCTTCAATTTACACCACCTATGGCGCTGCTGTGATATCCGTTTGTCTATCAAGGGTCGTATGTACTGCATAGCAGTCCGCTCTGTTCTACTGTATGACTGTGTAACATGGCCATTGAAAGTGGAGGATACAAAAAGGCTTCAGGTGTTTGACCACCGTTGCCTTCGTAATATAGGACGTATTCCGTGGTGTCACCACGTGAGTAATGCAGAAGTTAGGTGTAGAGTTTTGGGGAGAAGAGGTAAGTCAGTTGACGAGGTTGTGAACCTTCATCGACTGAGATGGTTGGGACACGTACTACGTATGCCTAGTCACCGATTGCCTCATCACACAATGTTGACTGAGGTGGGTGCAGGCTGGAAAAAGGCTCGAGGTGGCCAGACTAAACCATGGCACCAATGTATGAAGTCTCTGACTGTTGGTTTGAGCCATGTAGGGTGGAAACGATGCAGACTGAGTGGTTGGGGTCGGTGGGACAAGAGGAACCAGTGGTTGGAGACTGAGTCTAGATGATATGGCTGAGAACCGATGTCAGTGGCGGAGATGTATCCCCACACACATTATCCTCATCTTAACTACACTATATTGAATCTCACCATTTTGTCATTCTTCCTTCCTTTCTCCTCGTACTTTACATTTCTTTTGACTGAATTTCCTTATCTTCATCTTATACTTCACTGCCTTTTTACTTGATGTAGTGAGTGATATGAGGTGTGGCAAGTTGGACCGTTACGCAGTAATGCCTGGGTCCTATGTTAATATTGATGATAACGTTATCCAAACGATCTATTAATCAAAGATTGTTCGTGTTTGGCATTTTCCAAGTGTACCGGGATATCGGGTTAAACAGTAACACATAATTAGTCTCTAACAACAATATTACAATTTCTTTAACTAGTTCTCTTCCTCTACGTCTGGATGTACATCTGTGATCAGCTTTACACACTCGCTGCTTCCTTCATACTAAAGTAATCTATCCAAAACACTTAAATTATCTTGTTTCCTAACCACTCAAAATAAGACAGCGCCCCTCATCCATTAATAGGATAGACCTAGTTACACCTAGTTATTTGTATATCATGATTCATCTTATGCTATATGATTAAGACGTACAAAGAAATAGACTTCCAGCCTTCAAAAAAGATGCATTGGTCTGGATTGCCACTTTTTTTCACAACAGAACAATGCAAGAATCAACAAAACAGTATAACATCGAAATACTTGAAGGGTACTGAAAGCAGAGAGAGATTAAATAAGTAGTTGAAAGCTAATGAAATGCACAAACTTTTGAAGATGACCATCTGTGAGCACATTTGTGTCATGGTCGTTGAGTTAGCATCATTTCGTCAAGAATCATATAAA